TTTTCTTTCATTTGTGGGCTGTTTCTTTGTCTCCCCATGGTCTCTCTTCAGGATGTCTCTCTCCTGTGTTGATTTATCTCTCCTGAAATTTCTAATTCCTCCCAGTGTCTGGAATACTGTGCTAGAACTTCAGGGGATAGCTTCAAGATCAAGAGGAAAGAAGGGCATAATCCATAGGAATGTCTTGTTGGCCTGTGTTGTTGTTCAGTTGTGGTTAGAGATGTGGATGATGTAAATTTCAGGCATCTAGGATATAGTGAGCACTGCATTAATTTCTGAGGGCCTTCGCATGCGCTCTCCTGCAAAGCATTTGCTTGTTATCGCACCCATTTCTTCAGGTCTCAGCAATATTTCCTCAGTGAGATCCTTCTTCACCTCCCAGTCTTCATTCCTCTTATGTATTCCTCCATAGCACTCTAACTTTCCCTTGTGGCTATCAGCAGAAACAGGGACTACAAGCTTCCTGCCTCCTCAACCTCTGACCAAAAGCTTGCACTTCACCTTGATTGGACTATTTCTGAGCCAATTGTGGTTGGAATTCTGGAAATGTAATTGTTAATTCCAAAATTTGACCCTGTGTTGTGTAGTTAGGGTTCTACAAAGAAACAAAACAAAACAAAACAAACAACCCCCCCACCCCCAATATCAAAAGGATGTGTGTATATATAGAAAGAAATTTATTGAAAGGAATTGGCTCAAATTATTATGTAGGTTATCAAGTACAAAACCTTCAAGGTAGGCCAGCAAGCCTAGAAGAGCTGATGTTCTATTTCTAGTCTGAAGGCCAGGAAGAGCCAAAGTTGCAGATGAAGTTCTAAGTCTACTGGAGAGTTTAGTATAGAGGTACCTATTATTTACATATAAATGCCTCATTGAAACTCCCACCCAGATAAAAATATAAAGCATTAATTTAATCCCAGTAATGTTTTTATTATACTTCTCCTTACCCACAATTAACTACTACTCCTACTTCTGTCACCAAGCAAAGTTTAGTCTGTCTTTACTTCATATAACACAACTTCATATACTCTTTTCTGAGTTTTTTGCTCAATGTTTTGTTTGTGACAGTCATCCTTGTTGCAAACAGAAGTTCATTCTCTTCATTGCTCCACAAACACTTCTCAACCTTAGCACTCTTGATATTTTGGGCTGGAAATATATATATATATATATATATATATATATATATATATACACACACACACACACACACACACACACACACACAAGGGGCCTACTGCATGAAGTTCATGCACTGGGAAGGGGTCTCTCAGCCCAGCCTGCCCCTCTCACATACTGGAAGCCCTCAGGGGATATCCTACTGAGGTGACCTGGCTGATCAGGGGAAGGCACCAGCTCCATCACCCTGCTGCTGCAGCCACTGCCAGTCAGCATTGCTGTCAAGGTGTTTTGATCAATACAGACTCCAGTCCCTTTCCCATGGAAAAATGACAACTTCAGGCATTTTCAAGATGTGACTTTCATAGGATATGACATTTCTTTCTTTCTCTCTCTATTTCTTTATTCCCCAATCTGAAGATATGTTTCCATTGATTTTTAGAGAATGTGGAAGGAAAAGGAAAGACAGAAACATCAAAGTGAGAGGAACACTTTGATTGGTTGCCTCCTGCATGAGCCGTAACCTGGGCCCCCGGCAGCGAGGATCCTGTAACCTAGGTCCATGCCCTTGATCAGAATTGAACCCAGACCCTGTGGTCGGCAGGCCAAGGCATTATCCACTGAGCCAAACCTGCTAGGGCAGGATATGACATTTCTTAGCCCTCCAGCAGCAGACCTTCATTGTTTTCTCCACAAGTGTGGTGGAAAAACCCTACATCACCTTTCTGGATTCTTATACCCAAGTTACTAATATTACCAGTGGCATACAGAGTGCTTAGCCAATGAGCTGTCAGAAAAGGTACTTCCTCTGCAGTTCACACTGATCACCTCTGATCTCAGGCTCCACCCCTGCCAAGGCCTAAAGCCTCAGGGCCTGGGCATGGGCTCCTCAGCTCCCTCCGAATACCTGGCTCTGCCCTTGCCCAGGCCCCAAGCTTCTGGCATGGACAGGGGACTCCTAGCTCCCTCTGATCACCTGGCTCCACCCCTGCCCAGGAGCCCCCTGGTTCTGATCCTTCCCACATTGCTCAGGACCCACGAGGGGGCAACCTTGGAGTGCTCTGGGTGCTGAGAAAGTTCCTGGGACCCAGGCTGCTGGGCACCTACATTTGCAAACTAAACTCCATCTTTACTGGGTTAATTTGCATACTCACTCTGATTGGCTGTGGGCATTGCAGAGGTATGGTCAATTTACATGCTTGTCTATTATTATATATGATATATTATATATATTATGTGCGGGAGCTGGCATTGTAGGATGTTTATCAGGCAGCCCTGGCCTCTAACCACAGATGCCACAGCATCTGTACTTCTAAACAACCCAGTTGTGTCAACCAAATATGTTCTAATCATTACTAAATTTCTGCTGGGGTCAGATCACGACCTTTAGAAGCTATTGATTGGAATCATTAAAACTGTCTCTATTCAATCACATCCCAATGTCATAATAGGTATTCCAGAGTCTAAATAGACATAAGGACTGAGAAAACTATGGAAGAAGGGACCACTTAACAATGCCTAAGGAAGATGTCTTTTTATCTCAAAATATGTTTAACTTGCCTGACTCTCTGTGGAGAATCTAGAAGCAGCATGATCCAAACACCACTGACTCACTTATAGTTTAACAGGTCTCAGTTCTGTTTTTGTTGTGGCTTTATTAATGAGTAAGTATGTGCTACTTCATTAACATTTTTAATGTTTTTTTTTTGTTTGTTTGTTTGTATTTTTTGTTAATCCTCACTTGAGGTTATTTTTTCTTTTTTTTTCTTTCTTTTTTTTATTTTTATTGATTTTTTACAGAGAGGAAGGGAGAGAGATAGAGAGCTAGAAACGTCGATGAGAGAGAAACATCGACCAGCCACCTCTTGCAAACCCCCTACCGGGGATGTGCCCACAACCAACGTACATGCCCTTGACCAGAATCAAACCTGGGACCTTTCAGTCTACAGACTGCTCTACCACTGAGCCAATCCGGTTTCGGCCTCAGTTCTGTTTTTGTTGTGGCTTTATTAATGAGTAAGGAAGTATGTGCTATTTCATTAAAATTGTTAATGATTTATTTGTTGTTGTTAATCCTCACTTGAGGTTATTTTTTCTATTGATTTTTAGGGAGAGTGGAAGAGAGAGGGAAAGTCAGAAAGAAACACTGATGTGAGAGAAACACATTGATTGATTGCTGCCTTCTGCACAAGCCCTGACCAGAACCTACACCAAGGAGGAGCCTGCAACCCAGCAAATGCCCTTAATTGGAAAAGAATTTAGATCCTTTGGTCTACAAGCCAATGTTCTATCCACTAGGCGAAACTGCCAAAGGCATTTTTTTTTTTTTGCAAGATCCATGCTTTATAAACACATATTCTCACATATCTGAATTGATACACAAGATTCTTAGTTCATTTTACAGATTATGAAGCCAAATTGTTTAAATGGTAAATTCTGAAACCATGGTTAATGTAGCAAATGAATATTTCAAAACAAACAAAAACTTCATCCAAATATTTACATTTAAAAAATAGACTACTTATTAAGTATGCTTGAACAAACCATGTGTGGAATTGAATGCCATTTATTACAGAGTTAGTTCCTGCTAAAGACTTACTGATACTAGAGAAAGACCCCCCCTCCCCTCAGCACCTGAGTTTTCAAGTGTTCCTATGCTAAAAATAAAATAAAATAAAACATGGCAAATAATTTCTGAGGTATGAACCTGAACCTCAGAAATGGAGAGGCTAGTATGTAAGGCAAATTATTTAGAGGTTAGAAGGGGTGGCACCTGGCAGTCAGTGTGGCTTTGCCACTGTCTCAGCATTACCAGGTTGTTGATAAAATTCTCTAGAGGTCACTTAAATTCTGTAATCACACCTCACTGCATTATGTTCTAATAGTTTCACAAACTTGGGACACTCACAAAAATATCTGGGAATACATTCCTTGAGAAGATGGAAGGGCCTCCTTATTACATTTAATAAAAAAAACCATGCAGTCTCTTAACATTCATAGAGTTTTTTCAAAATAAGCTGATTATTTAGCCCAATTAAAAACTTAAAACACTTTATATTACAGGTATAGAAGTTTGTAGTGCAGCAATGCCAACCTTCACCCCTACTTGCAACATGATTAATAACTATACAATGACTTCTATTTTGTCACTGACTTTGGCTCCAATGTTTAAATACTTAAAACAACTTGGAAAGATTTTGTGTGTGTGTTTTGTCTCTTTTCATTGTTTTGCGTGGGCATGGGTACAGGTGGGGAGTGGTCAGTTCATTATAATGAAGACAATCAGGAATTGAACAGCCACTGAAATTTCACATACCATTTCCTTACAAAATATACATGGAAGAATATGGCTTAACGATAGAGGGGAAAAGCCTCTTATTTGTTCATTTTATTATACATTAACCTTTATCCAGTCTGACAATAATGCCAAACTTAATTTAATACCTAGGGCAAGAGTAACTCTCTAAGTGAATTTTATAAATTCCGATTTCATTTTGGTTTTTAGATACTGAGTGCTTAAAGTTTGGAATTCTTCAGATTAAAAAAAAAAAAAAAAAAAAGTTGTATCAACAACCAAAATCCCCAAGAGAGTATATAAAAAACAATTGATTAACCATCTAAAAAATACCCAACTAAATTTTCTTAAATTAGAATTAATTGAAATATATCTCTGCCCTTATAAAATGGCCTTTTGCAGTCTGTAGTCAAGGCAACTTTTCTTAAGTAAAATACTTCTACTAAAGAGAGACAAATGATCTCTTCAAAAAAATAACTAAATAGGTCTAAAATCATTATCATTCCAAAGTTATCCTTTGGGTAAGAAATAGAACAATAATGGTTAACACAACAATTCATTTTCCACAAAGACACCATTTTCTTTCTGATAAAAAAAAAGAGAGTGAGGTGGATTTTATACACCAAAATCAGCAGAATTTTCATGTTTCACAATTTTGTTGCTAGAGATCCCTTGAACTCATTTGGGCAGTGTTCTGAAGGTGCATATTATAGTAAACAGCAGCAAAATACCAAAATAACTCTATTGCTAAAAAGCTGCTGCTCCTGCTTATGCCTTTAGAATACTAGTTGTAAAACAGCAATGATGACAACCAAATGCTAATTTGTTCTATCAACTGGGATCCTAAGGATGAAACAAGTTATTTTCTTTAAACAGTCCAACATAGGACATCTATAATATTAGATAAATATGGACTTCGGGGAGAAAATACATATTGAAAATGTCAACAAGAAAGGCAATTAATATTCAGTATTCTAAAGGCATGCTTCAGGAAGTTCAACGATGATTCTGGTAAGACCAACTGCTCACATACACACACACACACACACACACACACACACACATAGATTTTAATGGTTAAAAAAAACCCAAATTTGTTACTTTAGAAAAATGAATGCAATGCACGTTCAAAAATATTATCGCCACAGACTCTGATTGCTCAGTCCACACACAAGTAGTAGTTGCTTCTATGGTGACATGGTTTCTCTGCACTAATTCCCATCAGGCCGAAAAACATTAGGGCAGGTTAAGTAAAGACTGTATTGTTGCACAAAAGAACATTTACTCATCAGATCCCACTGATCTCTTCTGTGCCCGCTTCCTGGGCAACCTTCTTGGTGAAGCTTTATTGATCTGATTCAAAGTTTCCTGAGGAATCCAACTCATGTCAACGTCATTCTGACTTGTTGTACCCATCTCTACTTTCTGTACAGATCTCTTGTGCTTTCTAGATTCCAGGAGTTGATGAAGGCCAACCACAACCAAGAGCCCAAGACCAGCAAGGAACATATACATAAAGATTGTTTCTCCATCTAAGCCATCCTCTCTTTCAATAATTGTAACTGTTTGATTGAAGACAGCATCTTGAAATATATTGCCGTTCAAATCTTTATAGTTCAGATTGATGACTAGACCGAAGGGTCGTCCACCCATGGGCTCTGCAGGAATGAAGGAGTACTCAAAAGTTGCCTGTCTCTGGGGTGGGACTACAGTGTTCAGAGGAAGAGCTGTGAAATTCTGGATATAAAACTGGTAGTCCTGTGGCTAACGAAATGAGGCATCTAGGGATTCAACAATAAAATCTTCTGTGCCCTTGTTTGTAAAGCCTACCAAGAATTTCACAATGTTGTTTGCTGGAAAATCTTCTCCTTTTACAAATAGGATAGTTGTATCTGCACTTGGCGAAGCTTCAGGCTCACCAGATACATCTTCTTCCTCTTTATCTTCTGCCAAATCTGTGGGTTCATCTTCTTCCACCTCTGCTTCATCATCTTCATCTTCAATTACTGAATCTTCCACTGTTTCTTCATCTTCTCTAAGATCTTGAGCTTCTGCTACTGAGCCTCCAGGGCCGCCTCGGAGCAAGAGGGTGGCGGGGAACACGAGCAAGAGAAGCAGAAGCAGGCGGGGGAGGAGCCTCATGGCGTGGCCCGTCCGGTGTCCTGTCGCCGTCCGCGACAGCTCTCCGCCAAAGGCATTTTTTTTTTTAAATTTTTTATTTAGAGCTAGAGACCCAGTGCATGTTAGGGGATGTCCCTCAGCCCAGCCTGCATCCTCTCCATTCTGAGACCCCTCAAGGGATGTCTGACTGCCCATTTAGTCAGACATCCCTCTCACAGTCCAGGACTACTGGCTTCTAACTGCTCGTCTGCCTTCCTTCGTGATTGCCCCTAATGGCTTCTGCCTGCTAGCCTGATCACCCGCTAATCACTCCCCTGCTAGCCTAATCAATTGCTAACTGCTCCCCTGTCAGCCTGTTTGCCCCTAAATGCCCTCCCCTTCAGGCCTGGTCTCCTCTAACTGCCCTTCCCTGCAGGCGCACTGCCCTTCCCTGTAGGCATGGTTTCCCCCAACTTCTCTCCCCTTCAGACTTGGGTCCCCTTCAACTTCCCTTCCCTGAAGACATGGCTAACCCCAACTTTCCTCCTTTGCCAGCCTGATCACCCCAAACTGCCCTCCCCTGCAGGCTTGATTGCCCAAAATTGCCCTCCCTTGCAGGCCTGGTTCCTCCCAAGTGCCCTCCTCTGCTGGCCATGTTGTGGTGGCCATCTTGTGTCCACATGGGGGCAGGATCTTTGATCACATGGGGGACCCATCTTGTGTGTTGGAGTGATGGTCAATCTGCATATAACTCTTTTATCAGATAGGATAGAGGCCTAGTGCATGGGTGGGGGCCAGCTGGTTTGCCCACAAGGGTGAACACAATTAGGAAAAATGTTTGGGAAGAGAATTTTACTCAGAGAAGAGTTTGTATACAAATGTCCTCTTTGGTGGTATGTTGGGTGCATTTGGTATCTAAAGCTGAGATAACATGTGATGAGGAGAGAGACAGGCAGGGTCAGAATATGTAGGAGCTTGCAGCCATGATATGGAGAATACAAGCTTTTAATGCTTTAGGACTCTGTAGGGGAAAAAAGTGACAAGATAGTTTGTTTTAATAAACGCATTGTGACTACTGTGTAAATATGAATTAGGACTCCCAATACTGATAATTTCCAACTATGCCTTACTACCTAAAAATGGGCCAACTAGCAGCTTTTTAAAATTACCAGCCTGTTTTTTAAAAGATTGAAAATGCTAAAAGTAAATAAAGAAATAATACATACATACATATATAATGAAGTGCCACACATAATGTAGTGCCACACATAATGAAGTGCCATACATACCCTGTTTCCCCAAAAATAAGACAGTGTCTTATATTAATTTTTTCTCTCAAAGTCGCACTAGGTCTTATTTTCAGGGGATGTCTTATCTTTCCATGAGCTAGATCTTATTTTCGGAGGATGTCTTATTTTCGGGGAAACATGGTACATACATACATAAATACATACATACATAATGAAGTGCCACACAATGAGAGTTGTTGGAACTCTTAAATACAATGGTTTTTCCCTTTCTCTTCTCCTATTTTACCTCTTTATCATCAATCTCACTCCCCCAGCTTTAATAAAATATAACTGACATATATATAGCATTGTATCAGTATATGGTTTATAGTAATTAGGTTTTAAAATGCTGTAATCTAAAGGTTTTCCAGCCAGAATAAGCAATCTTATAGGTCAATTAAGGCCACTGGGAATGGCATTTACTGGAAACATAATGAAAAAGATGAAAGAGAAAGCAGGAAAGAGCAACTTCCAAAATATCAGCTGCCTTTCTGTAGGAACAATAATTGAGCCTGATTTTGACAATCTAAATCCATTGCAAAAAATACAGAAAATTTCAGTGGAGTAAGTGGAAGGTCACAGACATGATCCCAGGACACAACTGAAATTATAACTAAAATACAAAAAAAAACAAAAACAAAAAACTCAACCTGAATGACCAACTGAAGACTAGCTGGAGAGAAGAGCGATAACCAAGAATGGAACGTGGAGCCCACATAGAGACTGATAGGAAAGCTGGAGGCATAGAACAGCTGGCCAAGCTCCCACAGACAGAAGCTGAAGTTCCAGAGAGCTATCTCAGCTATACAGGTTTGTCACTGAGAACTCTGGGGTCAAATCCACAATCTGGGCCGCCCAGCAGAGAGCAGCAGAATTGAGACAGCTTTACATATAACCTCTTGCTGTGAAAAACAGCAGAGTTGCTGTCTGCCAGGGTGTGTTTGCTGGAAATGCTGGCACTCTCTTAAATGGCCATTACACAACATTTTGAGTGCAGCCACTCACACTGGGCTCTGGCAGAGGGAGGGCAGAGTTGACTGCAACTGTAAGAACATAAATCAGTGTTGGGGAATCTGAGGTTAGAGCTCAGAAGGCAGACACCTCCGTTTCATGTGCTGAGTTATCCCCTTGTGCTATGGAGGTCATCTGTCCCAGGCAAACATTTAACTCTCCTTCCATTTTTGTTTAGATGGGAAAAAGCTGACCCACCCTATTGCAAAATCCCTTGCTTCACCCTGTGGTTTCTGGGGAGTATTAAAAGACTGTGAATAATAATTAACATCTAGATAGAAGCAGTTGTCCCTTCCTATTGGGAAACCTATCATCCAACCTGTGATGATTGCTTGAGACTACTCCAGGCTGAATCCAGTCTTTAGGCAGTGGCGGTTCTCTGGAGGCTTTGAGTCTTTGCCTGATTAACTTGGTCAAAAACATCAGTTTGGGTCCTTGCCAAAAACACCATCCTAGACAGTACAGTGAGTGAAAGCCAGTGGGACCCCAAACACCTGTAGCTGACACCTACAGCTGACACCTGTAGGACCAGTTCCATGGGGGAAAGAAGTACAGCTTCGGACAGGGTCAATCAAAGTGTGAGACTCAAGGCAGACTCAGCTTCTGGGCTAAGGAGTCCTCAATCACTGGACAATTGGAACAATGACATTGGGATTGAATCTTATTGGAAGCAAGTCAAAGGGTTCAACTATACCACACATGGCACATCAGCAATAAAGCCCCAATTACAACAGGACAGCCCAAACCATACATCTAGGGGCATTCCTAGAGCATCCAGCTCAGATGAACAAAGAGACTACACCACTGGAGCCCTCAAAACACCTTCTATATAAATCCATACCACAGAGACTGGGAGGTTTAACAGTTCTATTTAATACATAAAATCAAATCCAAAGAGACAGCTAAAATGTGGAGACAAAGAAACAATCCCTAAATGAGAGAAAAGAGGAATCTACAGAGAAAATAACTAAATGACATGGAAGCAAGCAACCTATCAGACATAGAATTCAAAGCAATGATTATAAACATGCTTAAGGAACTTAGTGAAAATTATGACAGCGTAAAAAGGAAATGAGAGCCCATTATCAAGAACCATACTGAAATAAAAAATGATATATCTGACATCAAGGACACATTGAAAGGGTTTAAATGTAGATTGAATGAAGCAGAGTACTGAATCAGTGATTTGGAATACAGGGTAGAAATAAATACCAATTATAGCAGAAAATAGAAAAACCAATAAAAAATTAGGAAGATAGGTAAAGGAGGCTATGGGACACCATGAAGCATAACAATATCTGCATTACAGAAATACCAGAAGAGGGAGAGGATGACCAATGAATGCATAATAATCTGGCCACTCAACAAACTAAAGTGCTGATGAGTATGTGAAAGGGAACCCTAGTTCACTGCTGGTGGGAGTGCAGATTGGTCCAGCCACAATGCCAAACAATATGGAGTTTTCTCAAAAAATTAAAAATGGAACTTTCATTTGACCCAGTGACCCACTCCTGGGAATATGTCCTAAAAACCCACAAACCCCAATATATGCACCCATGTATTCATACCATCAATATTTACAATAGCTATGATTTGGAAACAGCCCAATGCCTGTCAGTAAATGAATAGATAAAAACCTGTGGGACATTAACACTTTGAAATATTAATACCGTATTTTTCGAACCATAAGACGTACCGGACCATAAGACGCACCAGTTTTTAGAGAAGGGAAATGAAGAAAAAAAGATTCTGAAACAAAAAGTTCAGTGTTACCACTACAATGTGTAAACCCATAAATCATGCAGAGATTTTCTATGCTTTCTTTGCATGGTTTATGGGTATCTACACATTGTAGTGGTGAGAGAAGAGGCTGGAGAGTGTTTTACATTATGGTAAATGTTGTTGGTTTGGTATCACAGAAAGTCTCTGCATACAATATACCGGTATGAAGTTTGTTGCAGTACAAACATTTTGACAGTTACCGGTATAATAGTATGAAGAGAAATTCTGACTTAGCGGCGTTATCAATCAGGGCATCCAGCGGAGGGCGGAGTTTACTGGTGGGCGGAGATCTACAGTACGCCTACCCAGCAGTCAAGCACGGCAACAGAGGGCGGAGAGGAATGATTGGGGGAATAGACGCGGCATTCTTCTGGGCGCGGAGTACGGGCCAGCAAGGGGTACAGGCGATGATTACGGTTTGGATTACGCAGTTACCGTACACCGCACCTGGGCTGACATAGAGATATGGCTGCAGCGAGGGCATGGAGGCTGACTACCATACATGGGAACTCCTCTACCACTCGGGGTTTACAGAGTGGGGCAGACACTCTGGGCACAGAGGAATGGACAGTGGCTGCAGCAAGCACACAGAGCCAGGCAAGTAAAAAAACTTTTTTTTTTAAGTATATGTGTAGGCTATATTTGGACCATAAGACACAGGGACTTTCCCCCCCCCCCCCCCCACTTCTGGGGGGAAAAAAGTGCATCTTATGGTCCGAAAAATACGGTACTATGCAGCTGTTTGCTGTTAGTACCTTAGTGAGATCATCTTACAAGACTTTGCATCAATCCTTCTATTGCTGTGCATGTTCATTGCTAAAAAGCTCACCGCTGCTTTTTTCTTTGGAAAATATCCTTTAACAACATAGCTGATCTGATTAAGATGGATAGTCCACACACAATGCCTTGATGGGTTTCAAGTGTCTAGTACACACATGTCAAACACAAGGCCCGCGGGCCAAATCCGGCCCATCAGGCCTTGCAATGTGGCCCGCACCGTGCT